TTATTTTTGTAGAAAACAACTGGAGAGAAAATAAGTGACTTCCTGATGCTCTGTCTCAAACATGATTTTGACGTGACACCTAACTTCTTGTGCAGTTTCCTAGATCAGATTGATAATCCACATGGAAAGTCCTATAAATAAAAACAGCCTTTAATTCTACAACTATGTAGTTAGACATTTGTCATGTAGAGAACATGTAAGATGTCTGTAGAGTAGCAGTCATAATATTGAACATAATAGTGAACATTTGATGATAATGTTAGCACCAAAAGTCAGAATTCTCTTGGTAAGTTTGGCATAGCCACAGAAGGAATTATATGGTCAGCTATTAAGATTTTGAATTGATAGAAGGATATATAAACAGAAGCATTTTAAATATATTAGTAAGAGGAAAACCAAGTCATAAAACTTTATGTTTTCTTTTCTTAATTTTTTTTGAGACAATGTCTTATTGTTATTCTTGGATGATCTGGAATTTATTATATAATCCAGGGTGGCCTTGAACTCAAGGTACTTTTGAACTGTCAGTCTCTGGCTGCAAGTACTTGTATATCATGCTTTTATTTTAAAGTCTTATCTGGTTTAAAAGAAAATAGGCTGGTGAATATACATCAGTAGAAGTGCACTTGCTAGCATGTACAAGGGCACTGGGTGCTGTCTCTGGTTTAGGAGAAGGGAAGAAAAAGAAAAAAGAAAAAAAGAAGATGATGACCTTAGAACCAGATAGATAAATAGAAAAATTTGGAGAGTGTTGTATCTAAGTAATGGAATTATTTATAATTGTTCTTTTCCTGTTTGTCCTTACCGCTCTCTAAATTTTTCTAGATGAATATATATGATATTTGAATTTAAAGAAGACAACATGAAGATTCAATTTATATTTAGTCTCACTGTCCTATTTCTGCAACATGCCTTTAAACATTTTAGTATATTTTTACATATATAAGTGGAATGTCTATGTGTTTTTTGATTTTCCAAATGAATATTCAAAATTTTCTGACTTCTAGGACTGGTCCCACTCAGGCAGATAGATTTCTTTCGGAATGCACATGGCTACATATTTGACCTTTCTAGAAAGTATAACATGGTTTAAAAGGTGTGAAGATGTTTTACCTAGTTCATGAAAGCTCAGAGTTTATGTCTGACATCTTATCATCAGAAACTCATCCCTCAGGCTTATAATTTTTTTATCCTATTACAATGTAAACAACCAGGGAAAAGTATACATTAAACTTTACCTGTCATCTGCATTAAATGAGTAACATATTATTTTCTGAGAGTAGATTTTAATGAGAAGACATGGGAATTTAAGGGAAGGTACAGAGAGAAGAAAGTATGAATGGATATTCATGGCATCTTAGGAATAATTAATATTCATAATAGTAATATTTGTATTTATGGCTTATGAGTCACTAAGGAGCACATTATCATATTTAGTCTTAATTAAATTAAATAGATTGGCTGTTGCCAAGACAATCTTAGCCTTTGTGATTTTTCTAGCAGCATTACTGAAAGCCATAGTTATACTCATGGAGGAATACACCTTTAACTTTCCCCCTTCAGTTTCTATTCACGTGTGCTATTAAAAGATAGTTCAAATAACTAGACTTAGAACAAGTCAAGAATATATATATATATATATATATATATATATATATATATATATATGACAGAACTAACATCTTTTAGGAAATTTTGTTGTCCAGTTGTTGCGAAAGTGTTTGCTGTGCAAGTGTGAGGATCTGACTTCAGATTTCTTTTTTTTTAGTTTTTTTTTGACTTTTGTTATTGTTATTTTTTTATTGGATGTTTTATTTACATTTCATATGTTGTCCCTTACCCCATCCCCCACCCACCCAGGAACTCCCTATCCCCTCACCCCTCCTCCTTCTTCTCTGAGGATGTAACCCCTACCTACCCACCCACTCCCAACTCCCCACCCTCAAATTCCCACCCCCTGGGGCGTCCAGCCTTCATGAGGTCAAGGATTTCTTCTTCCACCTATGCCCAGCAGGGCCCTCCACTCTTAAGTATTCAGCTGAAGCCCTGGATCCCTCCCTAAGTGCTCCCAGGCTGGTGGTTTAGACCCTGGGAGCTGTGGTTGGTTGGTATTGTTGCTCTCCTCATGGGGCCACAAACCCTTTCAGCTCCAATGGCCTTCACTGTAACTCCTCCATTGGGAACCCCATTATCAGTTCAATGGCTAGTTGTGAGCATCTGCCTCTGAATAAGTCAGACTCTTGAAGACCTCTGAGGAGACACCCATATCAGGCTCTTATCAGCATGCACTTCCGGACTTCCACATCAGCATCTACTTTTGGTGACTGCACATGGGATGGATACTCAGGTGGAATGGTCTTCAGACAGCCCCTCCTTCAGTTTCTGTCCCTCACTTTGTCTCCATATTTGCTCCCTTGAGTACTTTGTTGCTCCTTCTAAGAAGGACCGAATCACCCCCACTTGATCTTCCTTCTTCATGAGCTTCATGTGGCCTGTGAGTTGCATCTTGGGCATTTCAAGGTTCTGGGCTAATATCCAATAATCAGTGAGTGAATACCATGTGTGTTCTTTTGTGATTGGCTTACTTCACTCAGGATGATAATTTCTAGTTCTTAGTTGTCAGGGAAATGCAAATCAAAACAACCATGAGATTCCATCTCACACCAGTCAGAATGGCTAAGATTAAAAACTCAGGTGATAGTAGATGCTGGCGAGGGTGTGGAGAAAGAGGAACACTTCTCCATTGTTGGTGGGACTGTAAGATGGTACAACCACCTTGGAAATCAGTGTGGCAGTTCCTCAGAAAATTGGACATAGACTGAGGATCCAGCTATACCACTCTTAGGCATATACCCAGAAGATGCTCGAACATATAACAAGGACATATGTTCAACTATGTTCATAGCAGCCTTATTTATAATAGCCAGGAGCTGGAAAGAACCCAGATGTCCTTCAACTGAGGAATGGATTCAAAAAATGTGGTATATTTACACTATGGAGTATTACTCAGCTATTAAAAACAATGAATTCGAGAGTTTCCTAGAAATTATCATCCTGACTTCAGATTTCTAACACTTACTTAAAAGCTGGGAATAGTGATGTCTCTGTAAACTCAGGGGTATAGAGGTAAAGAAGGGAGATCTCCAGAACTAAGTAACTAGTCACTCTAGCTGAATTGTTGAGTTTAAGAATCAGTGAGAGATCCTGCCTCAAAAAAAAGTGGAGAACAATAGAGAAAGCCAGCCAATATCAATCTCTGGTCTCCACACACACGTGCGTATATATGTACATCCATAACTTTATGTACATGTACACATATCCACATTAAGAAGCACATCACTGGCTGGAGAGATGGCTCAGTGGTTAAGAGCACTGAATATTCTTCCAGAGGTCCTGAGTTCAATTCTCAGCAACCACATGGTGGCTCACAACCATCTGTAATGGGATCTGATGCCCTCTTCTGGTGTGTCTGAAGACAGTAGCAGTATACTCATATACATAAAATAAATAAACCTTTAAAAAAGTTCCTCTCTCTCTCTCTCTCTCTCTCTCTCTCTCTCTCTGTCTCTCTCTCTCTCTCTCTCTCTCTCTCACACACACACACACACACACACACACACACACACACACACACACACACACAAGTTGTCTGAAGGGAAACCCTGCAGAATTACTTACTTCCTGTAAAGAAATAGAGAAAAGCTGTAGTATAGTGGTTAAATATAGACCCTGCAAGCATCTTTTTAGTTTGAGTTCATTATGGTTTGCTTATCCACTAGCTGTGTAAATGCAGATTTCTTAATTTCCTCACCAATAAAATGAGTATAATTTACTTATCATTAAAATGAGTATAATACTGAACCACCTCATGAACTTGCTAGAAGAATCAAATAAATTAGTGTTTGTAAAATTGTATATCACAAAACAACTGCATTTAAGTGATTATAAAACTACATAATAATCTTATAGGAACAAAAATCATATATCAAATGCTAAGAGGTATTAATTCTACAGAGTGGAACTGTGGCTTTTAAGTACTCTAAAACTATTAATATATAACATTTATGTGTATATTATACACAATTTTTCTATGGAAATATACTTGCATATATATATATATATATATATATTTATATAGATATAAAATATACTTCCATAGAAACATGTAACCATAGAGATATTAAAAATTACCAAAAATAATTAGAGGGAAACAGGTGCTTGCCAATGTATATTCATTGTTATACTAACAGAATTTTCCAGTAAAACTTTCCATAAACTAAAGTTATCTCTCTTAGTATTAATTACAAAACATGTCATTTTTAGTAATAATATAAAGGTAATGCAATTGATTATAAGATACAATGAACAAATTATAAAATCTAGTAAAGAAAAGGGAGCAGTAAAAATGAAGGAAAAAGAGAAGTAAGAATAATTAGGGTGAGAGAACAATTGGAGAAGAAAGTATTTAGTGACTTTTGTTAACTTTAGCTGGGTGTGGTGTCATATGTCTGTAACTCCAACACTTGAGCGACTGAGGCAAAAGGATAGTGAGTTTGATGTCAGTTTCAGGTACATAGTGAGACCTCTCCTCATAAGAACAAAGGCTAGGAATTTGCTCAGTGGTGTGATCGTTGCTAATCATAAACAAGGCCCTGAATTTGTGTCTAACAGAGAAAATAATTATACTCACAATAATATATACTGAGGGATGATATGACAATTTTATAATTATCCCCTTTATGGAGTGAGTTGTGACTGTGGGATCTTCAAAATGTTACTGAAGTCTGTACTGGAAAATGTATTGCAAGAACAACTGTGTTTTAGTTGATGACTAGAAAAAATGATCTATCTGGGCCTCATGTTCCAGGACAAAACAGAGTTCAGAATGAAATACATCTCTAGTGTATTTGACAGGGATGATTGTTAGTTCAACTTTTCTCAATGTTTAGCTACTAAGATACAGTGAAAAGGTTAAGAAGGGAACAATGAAAGTGACTTACTGGAAAGGAAGTGCTGAGATGCTGGGCCAAAGTCCCTGTGGGCTTCATGCAGCTGCCTGACACGGTCCTCCACAGCCACCTGGGAGGAAGAGAAGAGAGATGATGTTTTCTCATCACTTTTAATGAGGAACAATTAAAACACTGTTTTCTTTATGGTAAGATGTTTTGGGTCTCTAAGGCAAGAAAAGAAAAAGCAACACTTCATAACTCTGGCTTTAATAATTCCTAATGTTAAATGCTCTCCAAGACTTATTTTTATCAAACCAAGGTCAAACACAAAGAAGTTGCTCTATTTTGATAGTTTTAAAATGATACTTGTTATAACTCCCTTCACTGGAAACCACCAATAAAGTGCACAATCTAATTTATTTTACAAAATGCTGGGAAAGTTGTCATAAGGTATTATACTGAGTGCTCCTAGGGGCTTGTAAATACATACTTGGCTTTGGGTGTTAGTTGATTATTTTTTGTAGTAATGATTCTTGTTAAATTAATTTTAATAAATTATTAGTAGTTATCAAGTTATAATTAATTCTTAACAATAAACAATCAAAGGTTGATGGTAGTTATTAGTCAAGCATTAGTGCCACACACCTGAAATTTTAGCACTTCAGGTGCTGAAGCAGAAAGGTCATAAGTCAAAGCTATCTAGAACTACATAGTGTGACCAGTCTCACCTCAACAACAGAAAACAAAGCATAATGAAACAAAAAGTACAGTAAAACATTAAGATAAAAAAGGATGAGTTGGGCAGATAGTTCAGTTAGTAAAGTTTGACAATTTCTATAACCTGTGTCAATGGTCCTTAATTTTCCTAATGTTGTGATCCTTTAATAAAGTTACTCATGTTGTGGTGACCCCCCAACCAAAAAATTATTTTGTTGTTACTTCATAATTGTCTTTTTGCTACTGTAATGTATCACAATGTAAGTAGCTTTCATTCTTGTGAAAGGGTCATTTGACCCTCAAAGGGGTCAAAAGCCTACAGGTTGAGAACCACTGACCTAGGTAAAAGTACTGGCTGTGGTGGCACATGCACTGGCTAGTACAGAGGAGGAGACAGGAAGATGTCTCGGGTCTTCTGTCCAGTCAAAACCCTGTCTCAGAAAATGTTGGTGATCCTGAAATTGACACTTGAGGTTGTTTCAGGTTCTCACAGGAATACATACATATATGCACATGTACCTACACACATACCTATGTAAACATATAAATACACAGATTAAAAAGTAGAGGCAAGGCTTAAATTTGTGGTAAGGTAGGGTGGGTGGGTAATGAGCTGAAAGAAACTTTCAGGGTTCAGCTTTCAGTTCATTTAGAAATGATAATATAACCCAGGAAGCATGGAATGTCTTGTCATTCTTTTTTTTTCCTATTACGTTTTTCTATAGTACATTTACAGTGTCCTGTTTAAGCTTATTTAATTCCATTCTTGGTAAGGAAACGGGGAGACGTTTTGGAAGGTATGAAATGATAAATGTTGTCATCTGGCATTTCACCAACTCAGTATTAGTCATGGCCCCAGGCATCCTCCTCATGACTCTGGATCTTAGTTTAGTTGTCAACAGCCCATGCTAAACAAGGAACTGTTCAGAGCTTGCCCACAGGCACCAGAATTTAGGTTCTTGTACTGTGGAGAATAATCCAGAAATAAAGCAGTTCTCAATTTCCTCAAGAAGTGTAAACTAATGTCAACTTTAACTTCCCAGTATTAATGAAATATTTAATAAAGATCTCAATGAAATATCTAATGTAAATCTAAGATGTTTTTAAACTCTTTTTTTTTGCCTTATCTAACTTAGGTTGAGATTCACTAAGCAGGGATTTAAAACAATGCAGGATTTCCCTTACTATTATACACAGGGAAGCACTAGAAATAATTTCAGATTTGTCTGCCAGGATTTAGAACTTTGCTCTGCTAGCCATACTCTGTCTGCTGAGTCCACCAAACTACCAGCTGTCCTCCAATGTTCCATATCTCTAAGGGGGTTTTCATACTACCATCATTTTCCCTCAGAACATTCTAACTATCTTCTCTCCCACTGCTAGGATGCTAGGGTTTATATGTTGAATTTTCCCTCTCCCAGGTGAGAATTAATTGCTTCCTCAGCATGCTCATAGCACATGGTTTATACATGGGGCATTTGTATAGTGCCAACCAGTAATTATAAGGAAATGAATGTCTCCTAAAATAGAACCTGAACCTCTTGGTGGTAGGGGCTCCTCTTTGCATGTGTCTGTCTCCACTCCTTCCTTTATACAACTCTTTGAACCCTGTACAGAGTATGTGATAGCAAAGAGTTGTTTAATGACTATTTGACAAAATAAAGAGAGAGAGAGCAGCAAGAGACAGAGGAAAAGAGAAAAAAACAATGATTATATAGCTGTGGTAGTCAATTTTATATGCAAATTTAACTCTATGAAACTAAACATTATCTCTGAATGTATCTATGAGGGTATTTTTTAAAAATTATTGTTAAAAATGAAATTGGAATTGGAATTTGTGATTTCAACAAAGTAGATTGCCTTCCCCAAGGTGAGTGGGCCTTATGCAAATCAACTTAAGGCCAAGCTTCAGCTTGGACATTGATCCATGATGGAATTAATATTTCCTCTTTTGCCTTTGGACTTGAATAGGCTTGCTATTACCAACTGTTCTGGATCCCTTGCATGCTGACACAAGATCATGAAATTTCTTTGCTTCGACAGATTATGAGCTAAGACCGTCTAAGCAATTTTCCTATCACCTCCCTCTCTATCACCTCTCTCCCTCTCCCTCTCCCTCTCCCTCTCCCTCTCCCTCTCCCTCTCTCTCTCTCTCTCTCTCTCTGTCACACACACACACACACACACACACACACACACACACACACATCTATCTACCTACCATCTATCATCTATCTCTCCTCCTCCTACTGAGGTCCTAGAGAATCCTAATTAGTACAATGTCTCTAAATTTTTCCTATTACAGTTAATAAATAGAGACGAATAGGGTATAATGAGCATGGTATCATATATAACACAAAACGTCCAACATTTGTTAAATATTATGTATGTAGCAATGTGAATTGAAATTTATTCTTCACAATAACTCTATAACAAGTAATATTACTCTGTGATTTTATTGATGTAAAAACTGAGCCATGACAGGCTTAAGAAGGAACTTACTTGGGCCAGGTAGGCTGATGCAGACCTACAATCCTTATTAAAGGCTATGGATAAAACATTGCCATATAAGAAGAACAAAAATGGAAATTTCTAGTGCATACCCAGTATTGTCAAGAGGTAAAAATAAGATCAAAGTGAATTTCGCTCCCCATGATGCAAACTTAACGAAAACACACAAGAAGATTCAAATTAAAAATATGTATCTTTTACTGAAATGAAATATTCACAAAACAGTTTTAAAATAAATAAGAATTAAGTATAAAAAATTTAATTTACAGATTGTCACAGGGGAAAGGTTCTGGGTAGATTGACTGCAAATTGACTAAATAAAGAAATGATTGTGAGAAAGAAAAGTGTGAAGGAGACCAAGGGTTTTACAAGCTGTAGCTCCTTAGCAACAAGTACTTTATTCTGTGAGCAATTATTCATGAAAAAATTGATAAGCTTTTGATACCATAGCTCAACTACATTAGAATTTTTGAACTGGCTGTTTTTAAGCAATATGAAATAATATATATAAGCCAGGACTCAGAAACAGAAGCTAGATATCAGTACCTTGCATTAAGACAATTTAATTATTCTCTCTGTTACATTTTCACTTTATGTGTACTTGTTAATATTAAAAATAATATGCATGCATTAAACAACTACTGTAATCTCTGCTCTTTCAAAGCTTAGCTCACTGGGAAGTGAGACATGGTGATAAGCTCGCTTTTGAGACATCAAATTCTGCAGTGGCCAGCTAGAGACTGTCTCAGTTGACTGAACTTGGAGTGATATGTGCAGCAATTAGCTTAGCATTGTATGGAATATCAAAGAAGGTATCCAGTGCTAGAATTTTGTCTAGTTTGAGCCTGCACAGTTCTTACTTGTGTTGTCAGTCTCTGTGAGCTCATACATGCATCAGCTATGTTGTGTCTGGATGACGCTGGTTCTATGGAGTCAACTACCACCTCTGGCCCTTACAGTCTTTCTTTCCTCTCTTCAGCATAGACCCCCAATTCTTGAGGCAACAGGTTTGTACAGAGGGCTCCAATGGGAATTAGCAGAAAGGAAAAATATTATCAAAACATGTCTTATGACAAAGATTTTAAAAATAAATTTAAAATGAAGGTACACAGGAGTCTTTTGAAGGAAGGATTCATTTGAATACTAGAGCTTCTTTTGATTTGCATTTGCCTGGCTGAGGGTAAAACCCAAAGCTTCACAGCTGTTCAGTTAGCAAGTGTCCTCACATTGCACCACATTATACCACGAGCTCATTTTTTGAAACAGTCCACTTCTCAATTTCAAATCTGTGACACTGGAAATAAGGCTATTAGAAGAGGAAGCAGTAGTGTATGTGTGCAACAGCTCATTTGAAATATGAGACTCTTTACCTAACAAGTATAAGTTGTTTTAAGTAACCAAAGGAAGGGAAAGAAAGGATGAAAAACTAAAATGAGGTAAAAATGAAAGTAAGAAGGTGAGTTGAGCAGAAAGTGTTAAAGGAGTGTAAATGAAATTATTTAAAGAGACGAAAGGATTAGAACTTCCTCTGAATTAATAGGTCATGCCCCTTGTTTTCGTTTTATGATAGTAATAAAAGTAAAACATCAATCTGGAAGCATACATCCTATTTGTGCTATTTGATCATAGACCATGAAAGCTTAGAACTGGAAGAAACCTTATCTATTGATACACAAGGGTCTTTTCTTTAGAACTAGCCCAGATGGGCAAAATACTGCCATCTGCTCTGTGAGTACTCATAATCTAGTTTGCATCAATTCTTCACTAAATGCATGCCAGGGGAGAGTAAAAAGAAAGGTCTTTTTATATGCTTGGTGAGGACAGGGGACATCATTTTATTTCCTGGGCTTATCTCCAGACAGGAGCACAGTACCTGACTTACAACAGGTGCTTAGCTCATGT